TCTCCAGTTTCAAAATGTACCAGAAAGGAGCTATGCATTGAGAAGAAACACAAGCTTGGTTGTCAGGTCCTGATGTATTCTGCCAGTACAGCTCTTCAAAAGATGTTTGACTTCTCCATTTCTCCCTCATGATGAAATTGCTACCCTAACTCAAAGAACTGCTGTGATATTATCTTGTTATGCATACTTCCCCAGAATGGAAAAATAGAGATACAAAAATTTATTTAAACAAAAGAATTCTCTAAGACACCTTAGAACAGAATCACCACACTGTAGATACATGGATGCATATGACATTCTCTCTTAGACCATGAGAGAATGGCAATGCAGCAAATTTTCCCCACAGTCATATCAGATAGAACATCAGCCAGAATAACACTGCTGGGCTCCAGGCTGCAAGCTCCCACTTTAAGTGGAATCCTTCCTGATTTTTACATTTCAAAGTCAAATCAAGCCCAATTACAAAAGCCCAAACTCTTTTCGCAGAAGACCACGCATTTAGAAACTGAGACGATCAAAACTACAAGACAAAATGTCTCTCCTTTTCACCAGTGTAAATATCAAGAAAAAAAAAGATATATTAATTTTCTACTCAATTGTACTGATCTGTAAGGTTGACATTGAGAAAGATTTAGTACAAATGTTAGAGTTATTCTGACATAGCTTTACATAGAGCAGAATCAGGGCCATTTTTCATGCTAATTTCCCTAGCATTCAAAATAAAGCTTTTAGTGACAGTTAGTTGCTTTGGAGTATTCTGATGTATACTATTGCATATATAAAAAAACTGAACAAATAAAATCAGACTAAATTGTATTCCTCATAACATAAGTATACTTGTAGTTTTGGTGGTTAATAGCCATTTCTTACTAAACTCTCCCAGTTTGCTAAAGCAAACCTGCAGTGCTCAGGCCAAACAGATGCAGGACATATTAGGTTAGCACCTTAGAGCAATGAATGCAATAAGATGTTTAATTATAAACTCAGGGAAGCAAACTGTATCCCTGACATACTCTGCTCCCAGACATTGCTGAGGCAATTGATTCCTTTATGCCTCATGTGAGAATCACCAGAGAACATCTCTGGAACTAGTCATTAATCACTCAAAGCATAACAGAATCAGAATTTTTGCAATGATGCCAAGAGCAGTTGTGGAGATTTGCAGTGATGACTGTTGAGCAACATGGTGCCTGCAGGAAGGGTTGTAGCTTTCCTGTGGTTGGAGTTCTCTAATTTTCTTGTTCTCTGATTATGACAGAATCTTTACAGGGATCTCACAAAATCTACCAATCAGTCCTCTGACAAAAATTAATTTCACAAGGAGGTTTAACAAAACCAGCACCTTACCTGTAGTTACAGAGCAGCAGGCTTACCTGTCCCAATACTAGTTTCTAACCAGCCAAGGAAACCAAAATACGGGACAACAGAATGGGGCTGGAATAGAGCAGGTGGAATGAGATAGAAAGATAGTGTGCTTGGCAAGGGAGATGGGGACTACACGTGGGTTGTAAACAGAGAGGAAATGTCCCAGACAGTAGGATAAAAATGCAAAAAGAAGAGAAGAAATAAGAGGAAATGTGTAAAGCTTCTGGCAGATAACAGAAAATGTCTGCATCCAATTAGCTTTAGCTAGAATGGGATAAATATGGCATAGCGAGTCCACACGATTCGGTTCTGTGGTACAGGAAGGGCCTTACTTTTCATGGTTCTGTCATAATGGAGATACTTTGCACATCTTTTGTACACTGCCTTGATAAACAGTGCTAGCTACAGATTGTTGTACTGAATCAAAGAAAAGACATTTGTGATAATAAAAGCCATTGACCTCAGGTTGCCATACACTACCAAATGAAACCTCTTCTATTGAAACAGTTCAGCTAGACATACCCTTCAAGGCAATAACATGCATTGCTATGGTAGGCCTTGGACATTACCGATGCCTTTGAGGACATATCAGAAGGTAAAATTTACCTGCATTACTAGTAAAGCCTACTTACAGCATCACTGGAATTCCAACCAAAAGTTCATTTTTTTCCCTCCAAGTAATGATGTGAGTTCACCTTTAAAATTCTCATAGCGCAAAGCAAGATATTGCACTTTTCCCCCTCTCCCCCCAAATCATGGTCACAGTCCAAAAAAAGTCATTTTTGCATCTACTCTAGCATTGTCATAAAAACAATTATCTGACAATCCACTGGAAATTTTCCTGCTTTTGGTGAGTTATGTGCACCAGAAATAAATGATCCAGAGAGTTCTCTGAACAACAGATTGGCTACAGGAAAACCTAGATGGTCACATCCTGCTCCAGTGAAGCACATGCAACATTCACCCACATTTCTCAGTTTATCTGCTCAACAAGTTTCTGTAGCAGAGTTTTCATTCACAGCCGTGCTGGTCTGTCAGCCTGTTGCTGTGGCACAACCAGGACTTTGTTTCTCCACATCAGCCAGTACCCAGAGGCAAGAACACTCAACCATCAATGACTGCTGAAATCCACGAGTTGTGTGATGCTGAAGAAATGACAGAGATGACGAAAAGAGGATCATTTGACCATTCAGCTTTCAAAAGTGTGTTAGATACTTTATAGGATAACAATATAAAGCACCTCTTGTAGCAGAAAGAGAGCTACTTGATCCACACATTCATTTGATAGGCACCGTAAGCACGTATTTCACTATAAGAATGATGAATGTATGCTGATGTCTTTGTTTCCATGCCAAACTGCCCATCTGTTCTCTGTTCAGAAATCTGTCAAGCTCTTTTCACTTTTGCCCTATACTTAAGATTAAAAATAACAAAATAAGCTTTATCTCATAATTTCTGTTCTAGACTCTCAGTACTAATGAAATTCAACAGAGAGAATGGTTCAGAATCCCAAGTCTCCAGTTGTTTGAGGCAAAGTATGGCTTTGTTGTGTTGCATTAGCAGCCTCATCACAACAAGGAAAGACAAAAAGAGTATTTGAATTAATGGCCTCATTTGTGGAAAATAAAATCTCATTTTTTAATGCAGAGTTCATCTGGTAACACACAGATACTGGCCTCTAATGATAGTTTTATGCTGATGTATTGCCAGCAGTGTACAAGCTGTGATGAATTACCTACTAGCTGTCGTTATTATTGGCTTTAGGTTTTATTAACTCACTGAAAAGGTACCCATAAAGTCCTTTGTATCATCCTGCTGCTTCAAAGACAGGAATGGATTTGCATTAGGAGTTTTTAGGAGACTAGTAATCAGGCTTCTTGAGCTCACCATAAAATTTATGAGGTAGTTTGTACCAACGGTAGGTGAGTGTGAGCGCTTAATGCCATTTGTCTGAGTGTGAATGCTGCAGCACGAGAGTCAGAACTATTTAGGCTATAATTCCTAATGCTCTGCATTTACGTTTGATCAGCAGAAGCACTTCAGAGAGAGCACAAAAAGGATGACCAGCCTGCTTCGGGGATTGTCTCCTCTTCCAGCTTCTAAAACATCAGAACAGTTAGAACTGCAGACTGACCAAAAGGTCTGATGTAGCACCTTTTTGTCCTAAGCATCTGCAAAAAGGGAAGGTCACAGCTATGCATTTTTAGCCGCCCTTGTACATGGGCGCTTCAAACGCCTATTTATTTTCATAGGACAGAGACCTAACTCCTTAGTTCCAGAGAACTTCACTGTGAGTCTGAAACTACAGCAGCTAGCATACATTAAACACAAGCATTTGCAAGATAAAAGGTGCAGATCTTCCTAAAGAAGTAGAACTTCATCACTTAAAGTGGAGAGTCCTATCGGAACCATTAAGTGATCTCACATCACTGTGGTTGAAGCATATTAAATACGTTGTTCTCCTTAGGATGCCATTATTTCTTGGCATGATTTGAAAATGTCATGTTAAAACAAAAGCACACTCTGAAGTAAGGGCAATATTGAGCTTTTTTTCTGAGATGCACAATTGTTTTTCAAGCAGCAGTTTCTCATAATCCAGTCCCATGTGGCTGAACCTAACCCAGATACAGTACTGAAAGCAGAAAGCTGTTTCCCTTTTCAGAGTCAGTACAAAGAAAATCAGGGCTAGCTCCTAGTCCTTGCTCTGGCAGCTGTAATGCTGTCCTAAATAGGTTACTGAGGATTACTTTTGGCACTGTTTGGGAAACTCATCTGGCATCAAGCCAGCATTCCCAGTTTTGTGCCAACTGCTTCTTGTTCTCTTCTAAATCAGGGAAGTAACATCAGAAAGTGCCAGGGGACAAGATGAAGAGTGGGACTAACGCATGGCACACCCCACTGATCTGTGTAAGCACAAAGAACCCATAGTAGACAATTACAAGCCAGATAAGTGACTGTAACTTCTTCTGGGTACAGCACAGAGACTACAGTGCCTCTGCCAAGGCTGTGCCAAATGCTCGGGTGATTTATGAAATGCTGCCCGTAAGTGAGAATGTTCCTGCAACATTGAAAATGTTATGTCATCCTTTCTTCTGCAACACTTTACCTGAAATCCTTTTCACTCTGTGGGACTACAGATGACTTCAGGGGGATATTCAGTGTGCAGCCCACACCAGATCGAGGTTTCCAGAAATAAGAAGTGTGCAGTTTCCAAGATCTCTGCAAAATATCAGCTTGTCTGACTGCTTTTAAATGCATGAAGTAAAACACTGCTGTAAAATACTGTTGCTGCATCACAGACATTGCAGTTGAAATCAGCTTTTCGGCTCTGTTTCTTCTCCCATCTCCTACAGCAGAACTTTCCTCCACACCGAACTCTTAAGGGTTAACTGGAATTGGCTGGAGGAGGGGGAAGTCGGAGGTCAGCTCTTGTTCTGACACCAGCGAACTCCCGAACTCACAAGTTACTCCTTAAGCATGTGGTTTCATCCTGGCTTCTTCCTGCCAGCGATTTCTCACTTTAATCACACACCCACAGCAACCCAGATCTTTAAATTCAGCAATTCTTTCTCAGGTTTCAGCAAGTCATTGGCAGCCTGAGCTATTTTGGGGATATTTTCTCTTCTGCAGATGCAGCTTAGGAAAACGCAGGGAGCATGCTAAAGACCTGCAGCTATTTGCCTTGCACAATTTGCTCATTTCTCTTTATTTCTCTGTTTTCCTGCACCGATCACTTAAAGGACAATCTCTCTTGCAAACAAAATCCCCGGAGCCTGATTAGAGGGACCGAAGGCTCCCAGACACGGATTGCCTGCCAGCCGCAGCACGGTAAGGACATGGACACTTTTGGCTAGCCTTGCATTGCAGTTTTTTAAGCTTTGCTGAATGTTTATTTGTGTCCATCGCTTCCAAATCAACACTGCTGGCATGGCAGGCAGTCTCCAGCTCCTCGTCTCCATTTTCATTCCCTAAAATCCTCAGCACTTGTAAGTAACACGTTTATACTCACTGTCTCTTTGTGTGTTCTAGAAATCAATGACTGACACTGATTTTGATCAGTTCCAGAGTTGTTCTTTATCCTTACATTTTTGTATCTTTTAGAGATTTGTAATTGACTGAACTGAACTGAAAACTGACTGAAATTGGGGATGTTCCTATTGCCTGATCTTCCCTATTGTAGATATATTGCTGGTCTCATTATTTAGATCTGCAAATAATGCAAATCAGGGACTTGCTTCATATATTGTAGATGGAAGCATTTTTAAAAAGACCTGCTATTGCTGTTTTACAGGTATATATAGATCTTTCTTAGCCTGCATGTAGGACTATATACTATCTATGTATTACAGTTCTGCTATAACACCTTAACACTGCCACATAGCAGTGCTAACATCACAAAGACAAATACACTATAAAACCAATATAGCAGAGTTATACTGAAAATGAATAGCTTTTATTGTGCAGTTCTTTCTGTATAGACTCTCAGAAATGCATGAAGTGAGCTCTGCAGGAATGGCAAGATAGTAGTTTTACAGGATGTGCTGTTTATTGAAATACTTGTAGAAACATTTTACTGCTGCAGGAAGACGAACACAGTTCATTTCTAATGAATATACAAACCAAGTTCTAGGAATTTCTGGTGACAGAAACTGGGAAAGGGATTCTTTTGATCCTTTATTGTACTTGAGGCTCTTTAGAAAACCGGAATTGTTTTACCTCATCGGGACTAGCAATGTGATGACTGCAGAATGAGAATCCTCCTGAGGGCTTAATGCACGTTATCCAAATATCTGACTGCAACTCAGTGCATGCTGTCCTACTGAGAGGTTTTAGAAAGCCTGACTTTGCATGAGGGGGAGAAGGGGCCTTCTGATACAAGCAATCAGAAGCTGTTTGCATCTGCTGCCAGAACAGACAGGAGCATAATGGACAAATGTAGCCCCATTACTTTTCCTATAAAAATGTTTAGGCATTATCATTCATAGAAAAAGCAAAAGTTAGCACAGCCTTTGAAGCAGTATTTTAGGAGGTTTTTCAATCTTCACCTTTTGCCTTTCAATAAGGGAGATTTTTTTTGTTCATTTCCTAGCCTGCACATTTCTTGAGGGATTTAGAAAACTGATTGGAGGGATAGGGGAAATGCTATAAGTGCACAAATGGATTGAAGATCTTATGTTCACCAACAAAGGTTCAGACACTAGATTACTATTTAAGGCTTATTTTTCAGCATTGAAAAAGTTACATGGTGATACCTGAAGAATAAAAAAAAACAAAAACAAAGCAAACAAAAAGAAAACCCAACAACTCAGCAGTCATGCAGAATATAGAGCACTAGAAGCCAAAAGGAAAACTTCAGTTGCTATTAGTAGGTTTAGAATCAAGCTCTAGAGGTTATGTTTGTGCTTCAGAAAGCACCCCATCAATTTTGGTAAACAGTTTCTAAGATACTTTGTTCCCCATGAACAGCAGGCTGGTCTCTGAGCATGGCTCTCCCCACTGGCAAACCTCAGCCTCGTTTCCACTGAAGTCATGATACTAAATCAGCCTAATGAGATGGATGAATCAGTCCTTTGGTCCTCAGATCCATTTTGCACTCAATCCCAAACGCTAGCACTCAGCTTGCAGGAAATCTTGAGACTATGCGTTTCAGAGTGCAGGCAGAAAACAGTGATTATGGTCGGATGTGTTTTTGCTCAAACTTAGGAAAGCATTTGATTGTTTACTGTTAGAGGAATTGCTATGTCATCAGACAGGCTACAGGGCACGCATGTAAAATCTAGATCCCTTATTTCTCTCATAAAAAGTTATGTTCAGCACAAGCAGAAGCAAAATGAAATGAAGCTCTACTGACAGGACAAGTCTGGGCAGAGTTTGATGTTTAGGAATTTAGCAACATAAAGCTCATTATAATCATATACTTCTACAGATAGACTATTCACGTGTCACATGTTTGGGCTCACTTTAGAAAATGTCATTCTAAATTATGCCACTGCAAAAAAATCTATATTATTAGAAAGACAATGAATGTTGGAGAGAAAATAATCTGGATAATGAAGAAATTGATGTCTTCTAGGATATACTAACTTATTTTTTAAATAAACTGCTGCATATAAGAATTCTCTAATTCAATAAAGAACATAAATCACGAGGACTAACAATTCTCCAGATGTTCCAAATTGAAGATACACTCACACTGAGCTAATACATTCATTTTGGCTTCCCACTGGATCTTGCCTAGCCCCTTCATACAAAGCATTCAAGCTAGGACCACAAATAGCACCTCCCTCTGCTATGAACAGAAGCGGCTGCTTCTGGTGCTGCGTGACAGGGATCATACTTCCAGTGTACTGGCCGTGTCCTCAGAAACATGGAGGAGGCCCCGCTGGCAGGACCAGAAGAAAAACTGTCAAAGAACAGGCAGAAATCACCTCCTGCTCTTCCACCACCACTGCTCAGGCTGTGCGGGCAGCATGCACTGGTGCAGGTCACACCACGCACCTCTCCTTACCCACACTCTCTCCTGCTGAGAGGACATCTCCCACCCTTAGAGCACCAGATAACTTGTGTGACTCCTGGGGTTCACGAGAAATGCAGATCTAAGGGAAGATGACAGCAGCTCTCCATGCTGCATTGTGTGTGTGTGTGTGCATATACTTTAAATGTGCTACACACAAGACTCTGAAGATTAACTGACTCTATAAATGCACTAATTTATAATTCAGCAGCAGCAATGACGCGAGGCACTCTATAACTCATACTTGATGGCCTTTGCCTAGAGTCAAGTATATACAAGGAGCTGACAGCTATCAGAAAGGGCAGTGGCTAAAGCATAACAGATGCTGATTTACAGTAGAACTTGTTCTGAAGGCAGAATGCGAATGTAAAGCAAAATTAGTCCTTCACTTGAATAATCACAAGATTTAGTTTCTCCAGTTTTAATGACATCCTCAGATACACACTACAGTTGCTATAAAATCAGTTACTGCACATAAGCACAGCCATGGTAATTTCTTAAGTTCTCTACACCTAATGTTTTCTTGTCATTTTATTGTTTCCAATTTCAGTTTAAAAATCAGTTAAAAAAAGGTTTAATTGATCCTGCTTTACTCTCTAAAAAGCCTCCAAGTGCCTACAAGTCTCAGCGTTCAGTCAGTTCACTGACATACAATAGATTTGCATGCTGCAATGACCCGCTGAGATGGTCAAGCCCATCATTAAAATTGAAGGAACTGTCTTATCTTCTTGACTGTTACTTTGCACCAGGATAATTCTACTAGATGCAGTTGAGGGACTGAATTGAAAGAGGAAACATCAGCAAAGAGTGAATGGCACAAGAATTCATCAAGGACTGACTTTTGATTTAGATAATCTCATAGAGAGGGGCTTTGTAACAACAAACAGTGCTTTTACATTAGAGACAGAACAGACTGGGGATATCCTTTAAGTACTGTTGAGTCCTAACTAAGAATATTCTATTGTTCTGATCACTCATAGTCCAGAAAGATGAAAATGTACCCTAACAATGAACTAGAGCTAGAAGTGCTATTCACAAAGATGCCAGCAGGTGGGTTGATTATTCAAGAGGTATGACAACACTAGTCCAAGAAGAAAGAGACATAAGTCAACATCTAGAATTAGGAGAATATACTAGAGCAGTAAGATGAGAGCATGAATACACTCCATCTTTTTAAGATAGAGCATGATCAATTAAGCACTACTAGCATTGTCTGTTTCTGCAAGATGCAGCAACACTACAGCCACTGCAGGGTTGTTTCCTAGGTTACTATGGTACCCTGGATTCATGTTAATGTAAGGAAGAATCAATACCTGGATGTAATGTATGGACTAATGGATAGGTACTATAATTTGCTTCAGTACCCATTACTCTTTTTCATAGCATCTGTATTTCAACCTCTTTCAGGCACACAGATGAATCCAGCACTTTGAGTTAGGGAAGAATGAAGGGAACAGACTTGTTTTTCATTGATATTCTGAAGAATGTGGGAAATATGTTATAAGGCTGCACAGTTTAGGTCTAGTCTAGTACCTAGTCTTCAGCAAAGGCTTTAACATCTGCCACAGCATTCTCCTGGGGAAGCTGGCTGCAGCTGGAAGACTGTGCAGAGGAAAAGGACCTGGGGATGCTGGTCAATACTCAACTGAGTGTGAGCCAGCAGTGGGCCCAGGTGGCCAAAAACATAGGGTAACATAGGTGGTAGGTAGGGCATTGGACTAAATGATCTTAGAGGGCTTTTCCAACTTTAATGATTCTATGATTTTTCCACTTTTGCTCAAAAAAAAAAAAAAAAAAAAACCCACACCCAAACTGACCCAATAGTTCATGAGGCTGCCTCACTTTGGAGGGAGAAGACAAAGCCTGAGGCACATATTTTCATTTTTCCCCAAAACAAAGCTATATTTAATGCCATATGGATGAAAGAATGTAGTATAGATCTGAGCTGATTCTCTTCTTGATGCCAAAGCACAGAGCTTTTCTATCCAAACCACACCAGAATATCAGAACTCAGCTGCTGTGTAGGTCCTACAACTGCCATGCAGACTACAGTAGGTTCGACCGCTGTACTTTAGAGGTCTTTTCCACAAGCTATGATACCAACAAGAAAATGCTCTAAGTAGCTTTTATTTTGCAGTTAGCCTTTAGAAATGGATGGCTGTCATTTATAAATTAAATTTTGCAAGATATCTTTGCAAGATTAATGACTGAAATTCCATCCCTAAAATTGGAATCAGTCACTGCAAGTTTCACAATATTGAAGTGTTTATATTATCTTGAGATTTTAAGGCAGTGAGCTCCCACAGCAGCAATA